TCATCTCCTACTACAGTCTCGAGGACGTCGTCAGCGGGAAGTTGAAGCGACCATTCCAGGACCCAAAGCTAGCCGACATTCAGCCAAGACCGGAGCTTCTGAATGGCTGGAAGGTCAGCCTTGAAGATGAAGAGAGCAAAGACATGCCCCTGGTAGCTGGCTACCCGCACCACATCCAGCCCAGCCATGTCCAGCACCACGTTATTGGAGCTGTTACCCAGTCAATCGGCGCACAGGGCCAGCTCCAGACACATGCTCCTCTCCACCTAACAGTTCCCGACTACTGGCATGGGCCTCAGGTGTCCCAGTATGGCTCTAGCCACCACAGCCCCCAACATTATGCCGCGCCTCCATTCTCGGCCCACCAACCGGCACATCAATACTCCGTCCAGCAGCCTCCGTCGCAGCACTACACGCATCCGCCATCCCCCCAGCAATATTCTTCCCCACATTCCGCAAGCTCTCAGTACTCCTCACACGCTGCACCATCCTCGCACTACGCGCCGCAACCACAGTCTGCGCGTCACTACTCTTTCGACCCTCCGTCGGCCACATCAGCGACCTCGTACACTCAGCCCACCTCGGCATACCAGACGCCGCAACCTGCTCCGTACGCTCTGCCTCAGTCCGCGGGCTTCGACGCTCATGCCTTGCCCTCCCAAGACTCGCCAGTCGGTCCTCATCACGCTCAGGTCCCCGGATCGCAACCCGACCAACAAAGGAGGGCTTCAGCGCCTGTAGCCGTGCAGCCATTCAACGCGCCGCAATTCCCTGCGGCTCCCCATCCTCACTCTTATTACGTGACGGACCAGAAGTACGCCCCCGAGCAAAAGTACACATCTAACGCGCCCCATGGTTATTAGGGTGCCGTCGCATTGCATCATTTCACACATTTATCGAGATATACCCACGATCTACAGAGCATATACGAGACATTCATGGAGGATGATTTGGTTGCGATACCCCCTTAGCGACATTTCCTTTGGCGAAGGCGGTATTTGTTCAATACCTGCATGTTGGCACCCCGCGGTAACTGGTTACCCACTTTCCTTATGGATACAGTCGGAGTTGGATCTTTCGCTCTCCTTGTTTATGTTACTGGAATTCTGTATACGTGTTTCATTCATTCTGTCTCTTGTGGTGGCTCTAATACCAAAAGCACCTTATTTCCTCTATTCCGCATGGTCGTCTACGATACCTAGTCGCACTGTATTGCATGAATCTCTTCTTGTTCGCGTTGTTCTGCTTCTCTATTACCGCCATACCCTTGTACAACTATAACCCGATGCATGTAGCTAGTGCTCCATAGTAGCAACCACTTAACCCTAAACACTGCGGATACGCGCGACGAATCAAATAAATCAATAAACATATCCAACACTGCGCTTCAATGACCTCACTCAACAAATCGCATGCATCCACCCGGTGCATTATCATACGTTGTTCTCAACGGTTCGGCTTGGGCTGCGCAATCGTACGACTATTCCTGCAAACCTAACCTCGAAACACGATAACTACATGGCTATCCTAGACATCGACTTCTTAACGACCCGAACATGGAATTCTCACCTCAAGAATGATCACAAAATCATCACTACGCCGCATTCCTACGCTAAAAGACACGGCATAACATCACATGCCGCTGCGCAGTCCAACCCAGCTAGCCGGGGAACCCTCCGTTAATGAACAACAACCATCATCACATCATCGCTATCACATCTCGACTAGCCGGTGCCGCAACGCCCCGTCTGCCGTTATCATTATCTGCATTGCACATCGATGAAAGGATCTCGATTCGCGAGCTGCGGTAGCCGGACCAATCAGTAGTGATGGTAGCGAAGCGAGCAGCAAGGGCCATTGTGGGTTAACAAAGGGATTACTGAACCAGGCATTCTGTGCGAGAATGCTGTGCAGGACGGGGTGGCTTGGAATAGATCCGAGTGGGATCTTGATCCTTTGGACGGATAAATGTATATACATTGAGGGAAGATGGCGCGGGTTGTTGGAAGGGAGGAGTTGGACGCCTATGTGCTAGTGCTTGGCAATGGCAGTTGAGACGTAAATTGTTCGTGCCGGCGCATCGCTGCGAGTCACCTTTGTGGGTAGACTTCCTATTCGTCGGATCTTTATCCCGCCTATGGATATGGAAGTTTGCGTTGCATAGAGCTGGAGTGCGACTCGAGGGTGCGATACGAAGCCAGCGAGTAATGGGGACTCCGACGCTGCTTCGGGACTTTGCATTGCTCTATTGAGATCGCCATGAAACATCTTGCTTTAACGGGCATCGTGGAGACGAATACGAAGAGTTTCTTTTCACAAAGTACCGTACCTAGCCCTACAGAGTACCGTAGGAAACCGGCTTCGTGGCTTTGGTGATGCCTAGATGTGATGGCCAAGAGCTGATCAGTGATACCTCGCATGATTGAGGAAGTTTCAACAAAGTCAAACCGGATTTCTCCCAACACTGTGACATTTGTCATTGACCGACAATTCGTAAAATGAGGATGACTATACATCTGATGGTCCTCGGTCGTTTCGCGGAACTGTCATAGCATTGGGTCGCGACCGGCTCCCGAGTCAGGATAAAAAGACAGAAGCTACTCAGTATACTTGTCACTCAACGAAAGTATCGTACGCACTGCTGCCTGATGCATGCAGTATGTGAGTCGTTGTCGTGCGTGAATCGTCAGTAGTACGATGTTCGTGCTATCTCGAGGAGCCGCGTCGCGTGCGCGGGCGCGGCTGCCATCTCGCTTGTTCCTCCCTGCCACCCATTTTTCCCCACCATCCCATTTCTCTCCTCTGTCTTTCGGCATCGTGCCATCACCGAATTCCATCGGGGAAAGTCTCTACGCACCCGTCACCGCCTGTTCCACGTTCGAAACATATGTCTCCATTCATGCATCCTTTACAGGATGCTTCCACTGCTGGTACGACACGTAAGCCTGGAAACCCGAGATTCCGAGGCCAAGGATTCCGATGATTACCGCGATGAAGACTCCGATCATTGTTGCCATCAACATATATCTTCCGCCGCTCTTTCGCTCAAGCCAACTCTCCCATTCTCGATGGGGAGTTGGATTCTGTAACTCGTCGTAGATCTCTCTTAGGCGAGTGCCAAAATAGAGATGTTCAAACTCGCGGGGGTCATCCCCCCGCCGGCATTGCGACACATCGTGCCGGAGCAGATCTGAGTCGAATCCGTATTTCTGGATGAGGGCTTCAGACCGGTCGTCCGGAAAGAGGATGTTGTGTAGTGTATCCAGAACTTCCAATGCGAGCAATCTTGGAATTAAACAGCGTCCCCCATGTGGTCGACCTGCTAACAACGTCTCTTTCAGTACGGCAGAACAGTGGAAAATCCGGATGGTCTTTATTTTCCCACTGTAATCGATCGTCAAGTGGCTGCGCAGATCATCAGTCGGCTCGAGGCTGAATCCAGCCTTCACGAGTTTGCTGGCAGCCAGGAACCGAAGGAGATCAAAGAATCTGGTGTCTCTCGGCCTGCCCGTTACGAAACTAGAGCTCGCATGCGGGAAGGCTTCGAAGGTGAAGGCTGTGGCAGTCACATCGCTGCGCCACGATATGGATGGGCCACCTTCCTCGAAGAAATCAGCACAGTCGCGCGACGTTCCACAGTTGGTCAAGAACATAATACTGGCTGCTATGTTCATCGCTCGATCCTGATCCGCAGCATGTGTACAAACTTTGCCGTTGGAGTTCGGGTTGGAGAAGTGAGATTCGACTATGCGCTCCCGGTCCAAATCTAGGCCATTCCTGATAGCCTGGATAAGTCGGCGAAGATCATCATGTGACGATAAGGCTGGACGCGAAAACGCGGCACCTTCTGGCGCATACTCGTCCGTCAGGACCCTGTACCGATTCCAGAATGTATCAAGACGTTCTGCGTGTTTCCATGGACATTTTGGCCGACTGCACGTCGCAGCCCCGTCGCATTTGTTGCAGAGTTCCCAGTCCCACATAACCTTGCCCAGATTTTGCAGTTCTTCGGAACTGACCGTTCTCAAAGGGAACATCGGATTGGGAGCGATTGCCATCGTAGGATGAGTTTGAGGCACTGACAGTGATCGAGGATGCAAAGTGGCATCAAGGCTACTTTATGTTTTGGGATTCAGCCTTCCAAGGCACACACGAGGCTGCGCGAGGTGTATGCATGATTGGTGGCCACACATGCAGACCGACGTGGCCATGCTGCATCTGATTGGAGCTGTTGATGACAAGGCAGTCTTTGGGCAGAGCTTTGGCGCTGAAGCATCAAAACCGGTGTGATCATCTCGCTTCTCACCGGATGTGTAGCGCCTATCCCCAGCTCCGAAAAGCTGCAACCTTCCCAGGCCCTCGATTTCTCATCAATTTTTCTATGCAGCATGCAGGCTCCTGCTCCCACGACAGCTCACTCGAACGCCACGACTGCCAACAATACCACAACTACCAACAACACCACGACTACCAACAACACCACGACTACCAACAACACCACAACTACCAACAACACCGCGACTACCAACAACACCGCTAACAAACCTCTCGATAAGATCAGAGGCCTAACGCGATTTGAGAAAGACGTGAACGAGAAAGTCTCTTTTTACTTTGAGGATATCATTAACCGACTGAAAGGTCCGCTGCTGGATGACCTACGCAGATCTAAGAAAAGTTTTCGCCCTTTTGCCATACGTCTATTAGTCTTGGGTGTGGACGAAAGCTCGGCCAAACCTTACATTGTCGTGTTCTGTCCAGCTTGTGTACGAGATTTAGTGGAGAACTACTTTCGGAGAGGCACTCCCAAACGCCTTTGTCAACCTGGCAAAGATGGTCCAGCATCTTTCGAAGTGATCGTTGAAGGCAACCCGATACGGCCAACGACATCGCAGCATATCCACCCAACCTCGGTCAAGACAGGCCATCTGATTAGTGGGCGTCGTAGACATACGAATACCCCTCTTAAGATTGATGGCATCTGCGGAACTCGATACGCGACCATGGGTGGCTACATCATCGTTGTCAACAAGGACGAGGACCCGTCAATGTATGGGTTGACTGCTGGCCATAGCATTGTTCAAGATGATCTCGAGGAAGAGGTTGATAGCGAACAAGCAAGCGAAGAACCTGATGCAGATCAAAGTCTCTTTCCTGAGATCATGACTCCTCCACCTTCACAGGTTCCGGGATCGGTGATGAGCAGAACAATGCACAACACTACATTTAATCGGGCCACAAATACTCAAGAAGAGATCGAGTGGTCAGGCAATGCCAACGTTGCGCCATCGTCTTTCTTGACGCAAGCATGCGATCGCGATTGGGCACTATTGGCAGGACTAGCATTGCAACCTGCCAGCGCGACTGAAGATGATAGAACTCACGAAAGATACCTCTTAGGCGACCCGAGATCTGGTACTGCGCTGATGAACGACGGAGTGGAGGTCGCTTTCCATCCTCCATTCATCGGAAAACTTTCACGTCTTCCCTCATTTGCGATACTTCCCTACGGAAACGACTTCGTGCGGGTTCATACAATCATAGTGTACCACAATTGTAGTAAGTGAGCAGCTTATATTATGAGGTAGCTGACTAACAGATCGTAGGAATACCAGCAGGCAGCTCGGGTGCCTGGGTGTCAACGGAGAGGACCGAGCCAACAAGCAGAATCCGACCACAAAGCGCGACGGCAGCTCATTTAGATGAGAGGCCAAGCAGGAACATGACTGTCTTCGGGCAAGTGGTCGCGGACGATGTGCTAGGAGACATTTACATGGTGCCTCTTTGCGACATTTTCGAGGATGTCAAACAAGCTCTTGACGCTCGCGAAGTAAGATTACCACAAAGCACTGCCGAAATAGATCATCTTCTGCGCTTCATGAACAGTATCACCATCACAAGTTCTGAGAACGAGGCAGAAGACCAAGACCAGTCCGGTCTCACTGATATGGCATTCTGCACACGATGCGGGTCTGATCAACATACAAAGGAGCTGTGTGGGATAGAAGATCCTTCTGTTGTCCGCGGGGAGAGCCCTGAGAAGAGCCTTGGAGAAAGCTTTGGAGCAACTTCGATGCCTACGGTCGCTGGAGCATATACTCCAAGCACGTATGCGATGAATAGCAAAAGCAAGGAGACCGTTTGGTTCTGCTCTGAATGTTACGACGGCCCAATTAGTGAGTGGCAAGACGTGTGTTCCCGATGTAGCCACGTACAGTGCGGGTCTTGTACGGTAGAAGGGACTGTCTGAACCTGTGCTGGGCTTTGGCATGGCTATCATTGGGACGGAGGATTTTACCAGTATGTAGTTGCGTTACTCAGATTTGAGGCATGTTCTCAACATGACATAAAGTTACCTGACCGTGGTCTGTTATCCTGCTCTGCATCAAGCTTCCACCGGAATAGGCTACATCTCAATGTGGATGATCATGCCGTGACAAAGTGAGGTGGTGCAGGGGTTGGGAAGTGGCTGGGAGGCTGAACGTCGCTTACGTCACAGCGACTTCCGACGCGCGAACGAAGACCCTGAGGCATCCACGTCCCACTTTCGCCAAACTAAACCTCACTCTATCTTACTTGTGATCACGGCAATAGGCCTAGCTTGAGAGCGATATCAGAAACGTCGCAATCGAACAAGTGCGCATCTTCAGGCCTCCGCGAACATGCCACCAAAACGCCAAAAGGCGTCTGAGCCAGCTTCAACACCCGAGCCCAAGAGGCGTGTCACGCGCGCATCTGCCAGAACAAACACCGGAAATGCGAAAGACTTACCAGACTCAACAACAAAACTACCTGAGGCGAGACCAAAGACGACGAAAGGACGACAGGCGGCTAATCCTAAGAAGCGTTCACCAAAGGATACGACACCAGAGGCAGACGCGCAGCCCGATCAAGAAAGCGACTCAGCACCCCAGAATCGCACCACCCTCACCATCACACACGAACTCGTCAAGAAACCAATCGAATGCCACCAATACGCTCCCACATCATCGCCATCCACCCCACCACCAACGCTAATATTCACCCACGGCGCAGGCGGCACACTCTCCGCCGACGCCGTAGTAAACTTCTGCACGGGATACTCCTCTTCTCTCCCTATTCTCGCTTTCCAAGGTTCAATGAATCTCAAAGCGCGGACCAAGGGCTTCCACGCATGTATCGATGAGCTGAACTCCAGTCAATCGACTGCACAAAAGGGAGCAAAAGAGGACACGGCTGGATCGAAGACATTGTTACTAGGCGGACGAAGCATGGGGGCGCGCGCTGCTGTCATCGCTGCTACCGAACATCTCGCCTCACTAGACGACAAAGAAGCAGAAGAGTTGAACGTACAGCTCATACTGGTATCCTACCCACTCCTCGGCCCCAAAGACGAAATGCGCGACCAAATCCTGCTCGAACTACCAAAGAGCGTCCGCATACTCTTCATCAGTGGCGACGAAGACGCCATGTGCCCAATCGATACGCTGAACGAAACGAGGGATAAGCTGACGGCGAAATCTCAGCTTGTCGTTGTTACCGATGCGAATCATGGCATGCATGTTGTTCCCGCTAGCAGGACAAAAAGGGTAGGAGAAGAGACAGGGCGTTTAGCAGCACGATGGGTAGAAGGGGAACCCATGGATGATGACACATACATTGATGAGCTGGAGGGCGAAGAAGAATGGAAATAAGTCCACAACAATACCACCCATCCCATATCCTCCCCTCCAAATAACCAACACTCACACCACCCCACCCAACAACCTAAACACCCCCCTCCTCTTCAGCCTCCACCTCACCAATACCCCACCCTCCCTCTCAGCCAAAATATACCAACCCCTTTCTTCCCGATAAACCTCGCCCAAATCCTCCCATTGACTCAACGCCTCATCATACACCCGCTTAACCTCTTCCCTCTCTCTCTCGTTCTGAACGCCGTTAATCCACCTGCTCAACTCCTTCTGCGTCTCCACCGCTCTACCCCATCGCTCGAACAGGCTGTCGGTTTGGCCAATCTGGTTGTCCGGATGGGTTTGCTGGGGTTGCTGGTGGGTGACTTGGTTGATGGTTGTCCTATTGTCCCGCTGTGCCATTTCGTGGGAGATGGCTGTGGCTGATGCCTTCTCCACGACTTGCAGAATATCATGGTTGCGTAAGCGGGCTTCGGGGTGGATGCAGGGGGTGGGGATGAAGCGACGGGGACGGGGACGGGGACGGGGACGGGGACGCCGTGCGGAGGTGGGTTGGGTGGGTGGCATTGTGTGACTTTGGGGGTTACGTTGGCGTTATCGAAGACAAAGTGTGAAGGTTGGAGGTGATGGCGTAGTCTGGTGTTGGATATTTCTGGATGTGGGTGAGGGATAGATGGGTTCTGGTGTGTATTGGGGATCGAGGCAGGCTGGTTGTGAATAAAAAGGGAAAAGTCAAAGCTGAAGCTTGGGATCATGGTGGTTGTGTGCTGGTGGATGTCTCATGCCAACCATGGTTTCGTTGTTGCATGTGATGGGACAGGCAACTTCGCGCTTTAGATTGGACGGTAGCATAACCACAAAAAGTCTCTTAAGCCATAACCAAGATACGCATTCAAGATGTCGCAACATGATCCGCAGCATCTCCATCCTTCTGCGCCTCGCCTTCCTCTCCACCGCCCTGCCCAACTTCAGACCCCTTACTCTTGAACACTTTGAACTCCTTACTAACAATATCCCCCGTCCCATCACCCACCCTCCTCACCTCCACAACCCCGCTCTTCTTCCTCAGCACAACACTCCACACCCCCTCCCCCACCACAATCTCCTTCAGCCATCCCAGAAACTCCGTCGCGAAATTGATACACACATTGCCATCCCAGCACCCCGTCCCCTGTCTTACCATACCCGGTATCTCATGCGTGTTGAACGTCTGTAGACTCCTTAGAATACCAGCTTTACTCCGAAAGCCCACGGTGATTTTAGGTACGCCGAGCAAGAACGACTGGGCCCAGAACTTGAGGAGCTTGCGCTCGAATTTGAGGATATCGCGGTGTTGTTGCTGGCGTGGGGGAGGAAGTTCTTCGCTTGTCTTCAGTTCGACCCATTGCACCTGCTCATCCGGGTTTGTGGGTTTGGGTGCAAGAAGGCCGTCGACTTCGCCGCCTAGGATGAGGCTGTGAGGCCCGAAGGATGTGTGGACGATGGAGCAGTGTTGTGCGTGGTTCGACACGACGCCTTTCTGGGACCGCTCAATCTCTTGCCGTGGCGTGTCTTGAGGCAGCGTTGGTATTAGAGCGAGCTTCTCGAACTTGTAGCCCCAGTACGTCATCATTTCGCGCGATTGCTGGTCGGGGTGTTGGTGGCGGGGAGGTGGGCGCGTGCTTTCTGCTGCGCGGTCGGCGGCTCGGGAGGGGAAGTCTTCTTCGATGTAGATGGTGTTGTTGTGGAGGGTTGCGAACATGCTGAATTCGGCGAAGTTGTCGAAGGGGGCGGTCATGATCTGGGGGGTGTTAGGAATTGATCTGGAGGGAAAGTGGCAGCAAGGTAAGAAAGCTGGTTTCGCTTACCTTGCTATGTCTTGTTTCGGCCTGCTTCAACATACCTTGGTCATCATGCCTCGCCAGGTCATGAAGTCGGCCGTGACTTCCTCCTTGCCTGTCTTGTCTTCCATGAGCGCCCTTAGCAGACTATCCAGATGGGGATCTTCCTTGTCTTCGTAGTGTTTGAACGTCTCGAAGCCCTCCTTCAGATCTGCGCCCATTGGAGGTGGTATGTAGTAGTTGATGCCCGACTCATCATGCTGGTACTCGTGGCTGTCGTCGTAGGAGAAATGTGCGACTTCGCGAGGGCGCTTTATCTTGGCCGACGCGCCGCGGAAGCGGTTGACAGGCTGTATCGAGAACCGATGAATTGGAATATCAGGAACCGGAGCCGCGCTCTGAGCGGTCGGCATTTCTGTATTCGTCGCCGGAGTAGGGGCTGGAGCAGCTGCTTTCGGAGGCGCGCGAGTTCTGGGTCGTTTCCGAGGCGGCGATCGATCTTCTGTATCCGCCGGTGGACTTGGCGATTGCGCAGGAAGATCCGTAGAAGCCATGATGTAGTTGTTTGCTGTCGGTGTCACGAAGACGCGCCTCAGGTTTCGCCGCGGGAGTCTCGCAATCCCAAACCCCAGCCGCCCCACCAAACGCTTGTACCTGACTAGCTACGGCGCGCCATCCATCCCACCAACCCCAGAACGCCATCAACATCCAACCTCACTCCACATCCCGCCCTACACCTCTCCGAACAAAACACCTGCTCTACCTCACAACCCCATACAGCCAAACCACCATGGACAACCGCGCAATCCGCCTCCCCCCAACAACCCGCCGCAACATCTTCGCCGCCCACACCGCCCAGCAACAACAGACACAACCGCAACAACAACCCGCGCGCCGCCAGAACCAAGCCGCACCCTCCATCCGCCCTGACAGCCGCGAAATAGAACGAGACATCTTCATGCAGCCCACCGAAGACGAGTTCGTCGAGCGCGACGACATTGGCGAATACATTGTTAAGGCGCCGGCGCCTGTGTACAGGGAAATGGGTGTGGGCAGTGAGGGGGATGAGGAGGGTGGTATGTTGATCCTACTCCCATTCTCTCTACGGGAAGACGGAGACTGTTGCAAGGTGTTATGGGGAGAATGCTGACATGTGCATGTGAACAGAGCAAGAAAACGAAATGATACAACTCTACGGCAAGACAAACGCACAGTGGGATGCCGTTGCTGTGGAAGAAGAGATTCGGGCTGCGTTGAAGAGTAGTCTGAAGAAGAAGGTGGCTAGTTTGGAGGACGATAGGTGGATGTTTGAGGGGGAGGGGGAGGGTAGGAAATAAGCTGGGGTTTTGTTGGAGATGGGTATGTGAATTTGGGGGGTTGAGGGAACTGGGAGGCGTTTGGATTGTGATACCCTAGTAGATAGTTATTGAAACTGATGTTTGTCTGGATTGGTCTGATGTTGTGTGAAGTGTTGAGTGAGGCCTGTATGCCTTCGATGTATTTTTATGTCATGGAAGATTGTGGATCGTGTCGCGGGGAGGTAGTCAGTGCGAGATTTGAGCGTCTTCGCAGGAGTATGAAGTATGCTGTCGAAGATATGGTGTCCTCAGACTGAGGTTCTCGAGCATGTCAGTGGTACATGATAACTACGTAGAGGCGGAGGTTGAGAGATAGTCCAACACAAAAACATTGAACACATCCCAGGGTACACGATATCAATGACAAGCCAGAATGCAAGAGTAATCAAGTTCGTTCGCGGACTTACGCTCATCATAGCTGCCGCATCTACCTACCCCCCATCCTCAATCCCACCACCAGCCCAAACGCCCACCAAAGAAACAAACCCTGGGTATCAAAACACATTCCTAAACGCCTCTTCCCCTCTCACGCCCGCCCGCCCCCCAATCCCACCCAAAATCCCCAAAAGCCTGAGACCACATTAGCAAAACCGCACCAACCCAAACCAATTGACAATAAAACTTACAACATCAAACCGCCTCCTCATACCCCTCCCCCCCATACAGCCTGCCCGCCCAATTAACCGCAGCCAACACCACCAGAACCCCCTTCTGCAGCTCCTCGAGCTCCGCCTCCTCCTCCTCATCCAGCGTCTCCTCCAGATGCTGGTACATCTCGATGCGCTCGTACAGCTTGCTCGCCATCTCCTCGAGGCCGCGGAAGAACCAGTAGAGGCGCTTCTGCGCCGGGGAGTCGTCAGCCGGCGGCAGGTGCGGGAACTCCGCGAGGGAGGGGACGTGGAGGTCGGAGAGGTTGATGGTGAAGTTTTCCATCTTTGTGTTGATGGAGATGCGGGGGTGAGGAGGGAAGGTGGTTTTGTAGTAGTAGTAGTGGTGGTGGTGGTAGTAATTGAGCTTGTTGTGATGGTGGTGATGGGCTTGTTGGTGCTGGTTTGGGGTGTTGGGGAAGCTGGTTTTCAAGCTTTTATGTGGGCGATTTGGGGGTGCCAAGACTGCGACTGGCGACGGTCTGGCTTCGCTATTGTTGAGCGCTTTACGCGTAGTGACGGTGACGGCGGTATTCAGCGAGGCTGGGAGGGCGGCCTGCTGCTATTGAGAGGGAGGTGAGCTAATGTTTTGGTGTAGGATATTTGAAGTGGGATACGCATCGGCGAGGGTGAAGTACATACTTTACCCCGACGCACTCATCACAGCGACGCCTTTCAACGAGCCCTTACACAGCGCGATGTAGCTACCGTCCTCCCTCGAGACACCGCTGTCGTCCTCCTAACCTACGATCGTATACGCCTTAAGCCGCTGCCACGAGCGCCCCGACCGTACGACGAGACCGAGTATACAAGGTGGAGGCACGACAGGAACATGTGGGGGCACACAATGGGGAGGAGACTATACGGCGAGTCAATGAGAAGGTTTTTGTACTCAATTGCCAGCCCTTGGGTCGAGGGTATGTCGCAGTCGAGTCGGACAGCGGAGGAGGCAGCGCCCTGGTCCGCCAGCGACGAGGCTGACAATCCTTCTCGCCTTGCGCTCCCGACGCCAATGGCAGCAGCTCGAGGCTATCGTGCGACAGGCGGCGTAGAGTTGGAATGATACTGAAGTTGAGGAGAGGCGGAAAAGGTTGACAGACAATAGACAACGGACATATAGGATAGAGCTTTACCAGGAAAGGGGCAGTCCAGTAGCTACAGGCCAGGGCCAAGTCATGATCTCCGCGTACTTGCCGGCTCTCTGAGCTGCATAGTCTCATCGTAAGAGTAGTGATGGTCCCGTCGCGCGGTCTCCCTGGTCTGCCTTGTGGAGTTGAGCCTTTGGTCGCGGACAGCCAACATGACGGAATTGGTCTGGGGGAAAGGGGCAATGCAGTAGCTACAGATCTGGAGGAGTAGACGCCCCCGGTCTACATCTTGAAGTTGCTCGTGCCTGCCTGCCGCAAAGGTCGTGATGTTGTCGTTGCGCGCTCTGCCAGTCCGCCAGACCCTGGACCTTGAAGGGACCCTTTGAGCAGCCTCGCGACGACCGGTCCACGTCCGTCATGGGATGTTGATGAGTGACTGAATGCTTCTTGTGATGCCAAAGTAGAATCTGAAGATATTCACGCCCGTCCAGGCCGCTCGAGTCGTTGTCGCGGAGGTCGCGAGGGTCTGCAGGCCTCCTTTTCGCAGAGCATGGTGAGGGTCGCCATTCGAGCAGCGCTTTTCTCGTGAATGTTCAGCGAATGTTACCGTTCAGTCTACGTGCCCGAATGCTGCTTTGCCCCTCGCTGTTGTCGCTCCTGCTGTGAGCCGCGCACCTGTAGCCCCCGCCCTTGAGGCAGTCGCGGACCGCGTTCTACAGCAGAGCTCACATGTGATGCTGAGTCTCTGCTGGAGAGCTCGTGGTCGGCTTGGAGACAGTCTCCGTTCACAACAATGCAGGTGACGATGTCTGCGCCCCCTTGAAGCTGGCCGCAACCCTGAAGTCGCGAATCGGCGGGCTCCGCCCCTTTAGCCGTCACGAAGCGCGCTCGAGAGCACAGGTTACTACGTGTTGCGGAGTTCCTCTTGACGAGCTTCTCGTCGGGCTCAAGGTCGTCTTCAGTCTCGGGGATGCAAGTGATCTTGTCGGCACCCTCGTGAAGCTATCTGCACGCCTGGAGTCACGAATTGTAGCTCCTGCCGTTTTGGCAGCCACGAAGCGCGCTCAGGAGCAGCGGGCACCGCAGAATGCTGTGTCTCTACTGATGATCTTCTCGTCCTTCCCGTGGCGGTCTTCGTTCTCAATCATGCAAATAATCATGCCCGCGCCCCTGTGAAGCTGTCCGCATGCTTGGAATCGCGCCTGCCCGCCCAGCCGGCTCAGCACATCCCCGCGGCCTCTGGATTCACAAGAAGCTGCAGAATCTCAGGGGTGAGGTTGTGTTTCTCAAGAAGCTGGTTCCCGATGCCACGTTTTCTGCAGTTTCACCGTCTCCACGATGTTCAGCTTTGGAGTTGCTCTCCGCCCCGCTTCAACGTGCCTTCCCAGAATGACCGTGTTTGTTTCCTGCCTGCCACAAGCAGCCGCTGCTGCCTCAACAAACAGAATGACGCGGGGAAGCTTACGCGTCCGGGAATCATGCTCTTGATCGCCCCCCGCTCGTTGCACACGCTTCCAGCTGGCAATGTGCATGTGCCGGCCTCATGAGTTCCCCGCGGACATCGTGAGATCCACCAACATGCTTTCAACGCGTGTCTCAGTGGTTTCTCCAGCTTTCGGTCAATGAAATCTGGCAATTTCTCTCACCTCCACGTGGTTGAGAGGGAGATTTGGCAATGCCACGTAGACTTCCAGCTCATAGCAATCCCCTATATCTTCCAACTCGCTGCAGACTTCTTCTGACACCATTCTCACGCACTTTCACATCTCCGGCGCTTCTTCACGCTCCTGCCCCTCCCGTCATCCTGCCCCTCCGGTGCCCGCTAGTAGGCGGTCAGACGGCCTGGACGACGCTAGAACCGGTGAGTGGGTCCTCGGGATAACGTGCAAAGGCGGTTGAGGGATGGAACTTCAACCTCAGGCTTCGTCTTGCAGCTGCGATGCATCACCAACTCCATTGATGCCTCGTATGCCTGAAAAACAGAAGTTGTAGAGCTCGTCGAGCGCTATCTCCTCATGCTCGTCTGGCCCCGTCCGGTTGATGGTTCTCCTGGAGTTGTGGGATATCCGAATCGCTTCCTTCCAGTTCCTCCGCCAGGCCTCGCCGCAACTTCCTCACCACGACGTTCTCTCTGACTCTTTTGCTCCCAATCCGAACGGTGAGTTCTCTGGCCTCAGATACTGCCGTCACCTGACCTCCGGAGCTTCGGCGCTGGCGCCAGTATATAAACAGCCCTTCCCCCGCGCCTTCCACCTCTTGCCCACTCACACCCACCCACATCCCCATCCCCACCTGATATTGACAGACTCCTTGCTTGAGCTTTGCCAATCATCCATCTCTTGCCTTCTTTACATCCACCTCTTGTACAACATCAAGACCCTTCCTCAACATCCAAAGATGTCTCACCCTTCACCCAACTCCTCGTCGGCCAACGGTCCTCCCTCATCCCCCTTTGACGGTACCAACCCAACCGTGTACTCCCCCGATGTCGAGCGCAAGCCCAACCACCGTCGTCAACTTACTGCTATCCCCATTGGGAAGCAGGCCGCCAAGCAATTTCTTCCGGAGCCGCCGGCGTATGTCGAGGGTGCCTTCGTCGATGAACTCGATGAGTTCAACAACACCTTCGTCTCTCGCTACCTGTACGTCGAAGGCGGTCAAGATGCTGAGCACCTGAAGTTCCTGGTCCAGAACCAGATGAAGCGCGTAAGTGTCGTCCCCTTCCTCCACCATGCTTCACACTAACCTCTTGTAGTACGACTGCTTCAAGCACTCGGCCATCTTCCTTCAAGACCCGCACGCCGCTATCTTCATGCGATTCGATAGCCTTTCCGACGCTATCGAAGCTCGGGATCTCCTCATTCAGGCCGGCTTCTCAACCCACTACGCGACCATGGACGACCTCGCCCGCTCTATGGCAAAGGACATCCGCGACATCCAGCCTTTTGAAGGTCAGATGTTCTTATCCATGTTCATCGACGCCAATCCCGAGCACGCTGTTTGGGAGTTCACCAACGACGATTACGAGGACATCAAGAACCAGATCGATCTCATCGCCAGGGAGTTTGGCAATGTTCGCAACGTCGTCCACGTCGACACTGTTCACGAGGAGATGCGCCTGATCTTCCGGATCGAGTTCGACTCCATCGACGCCGCACAGCGCGCCATCCAGTCTCTTCGCCGCACGCCTGTCTATGGCTTCGGTGCTGATGTAAGCACCTCACCTCCAACTCTTCTGTTCTTGCTAACCTTCTCACAGAGATCGTACTTCTGGTCCACCATCAACGTCGGTGACTGGGTCGATGAGCGTCCGCTGGGCCCTCACCGCTTCCAACATCGCGGCGATACTCGTCGCCCGTACCGCGGTCCATTCCGCAACGAAGACCCCCAGGATGAGCACAACCGCGTCCGCCGTGAGCGCATCATCGACGGGAGCGATGTTCGCACCACTGTCATGCTCCGCAACATCCCGGCTTCATGCGACTGGGTAAGTCTTTCCTTCCACGTCTGACCCGAAGCCTTACTAACTCTTTTGATAGATGACACTCAAGTACATCCTGGACCAGATCTGCTTCGCAACTTACGACTTCCTCTATCTGCGCATCGATTTCAAGAAGTGTGCCAACGTCGGCTACGCTTTCATCAACTTCACGGATGTCGGCGGCATGCTGATGCTTCTCGAGATGGAGTTCCGCTCATGGCCTGGTTTCATCTCCGACAAGAAGTTCGGGATCTCGTATGCGACAATCCAGGGACGCGAGGCGCTTGTTCAGAAGTTTCGCAACTCTTCTGTTATGCAGGAGACGCCCTATTGTCGCCCGCGCCTCTTCATCACCCAGGACGAAGCCGAGTTGATGAACTCCATTCGCCACGCCGGTACCGAGCTGCCTCTCCCCCGCCCCGACAACATTTCGAAGTTGCAGCGCTCCATCGATAGTGCTCGTAGCACTGGCCTGTTTGCTCCTCGAGGATACTCTGCCGGCATGGAGTACCGCCACCACTTCAGCACGTTCGACCGCGGTAGCCCCCGAGACAACCTTCAGACCGCCATGCACCACGCTCATCAGCACGCCGCTCCCCTCGTGTTCGGCGGTATAACTGAGGCTCAGAAGCAGAAGATCGAGGCCTGGTACCTGCACGTCTTCGGCGGCGGCCACCGCGGCGCTATCCCCTTCGACTCCATCCCGATGACCCATATTCAACTCTACTTCGAGGAGCACCCCCATCTTGCGCCAGTCCGTCTCACCATGGCTCGTTCTTCCGGCAGCGGCAACGGCACTCCTCGTCGTTCGGGACGCGGTTCTGATAGCGACAACTGGCGTGGAGGCTCCTCTGGTCCCTCCCAGGGCAACCGCAAGCGCTTCATGTAAACACCGTTTACCCACCGACGCATCCACGGTCGCAACGTCTCTTCCGGCTAGACCTTGCGCAACGAGTACACGGCTTCTTTCTTTGTTTTCGATCTGTTCCCAGATGTTTGCCAGACCAGGATTTCTCTTTACGATTTGTTCGGTATGGCTATTGACACACTGTATCGGGTGTATGTCTTCTGGGTCGGATTCGATGCGATTTT